CCCTGATGAAGGTGACAGACGGTCATCGAAACATCGACTCGTGAAAAATAAATGAACTTTGCTATTTATATTCCCTATTACACATACTTCAAAGATATCCTCTAAGTTCATTCAGTCCTGACGAAAAAGATTCCTTCTTTAAAAATAACTTTCTTGGCATTTCTCCAAGAAAGGTTACAGGTACAGGAGCAGTGCTCAACAATATCAGACATGTCTTGGTTTTATGATGAACAATTTTCATAGACATATATGTATAAATTCCCCAACACCACAATAACCAATGCCTTAGGCCACATCGACTTAATTTTATGGATGACATCCTATGAAGACCCCCAAACTAGTGCGCGCGGGCGAATAAAAAAAAAATTCCGGCCAAAAATAAAAATAGCTACTAAACCACAGGAATACAAAGCTGGTATTGTGAATTTGCGGCAGTACTTAGCGACGTATATGACAAACCGGACACATGCTGGNCTGACAGTGGTCAACATAGCCGAAATGGCAAAGATGTCTGCTGCCATGCCGGAAGGTGGATGGTAGATAACTATGAAGAGAGGAGACAAGAAAAGACGTTTTGTTTCTTACTTTGATGCAATGATATTTGATGCAATGATATTTGATGCTGGCTGTGTATATGTGATGTTCCCACTGAATCAAAATCATTTGTACCATGATTGAGTCAAAATTTTACAATGTAGGAACCTTGTTTTTTCGGCCCGTCTTGTTTTTTTTTTCGCCCGCTCGCATTAGATTTGGAGTCTGCGGAGGATATCATCCATAAAATTTACTTGCTGTGGCCTTACAGTCATACATCAAACATGGGCGAACCTCCCAACAATGCCAGGATGTTTGAAACATGAAACAATCGGGTGGCGCAGCCAAATTCGCCAAACACCAGCAGACTTTGCACTAACCTACTCCTAACAGCACGTCGGCAGAACGTACTGCGCCTGCGCGAAACCCGTAATGTATTGTACATAGCATTTCGGCAGAATGTCTCATATAACCTTGTATTCGCTCATATAAGGTTAGCATTTTGACAGTAGTTTCCAAATGTTATGTCGGAAAGAATATCCTTTGCAACAAACAAAATTCTGATGCAATGTTGACCAAAAACCCAACGAAAAACTCGAAAATACGGGGTTCTGCGCAGGCGCAGTACGTTCTGCCGACGTGCTAATCCTAACCATATT